TTTATTTCAAAACCCCCTTCCCCTCACCCTTTTCTGATGAAGGGTCTAGGCCCGAAACGTCAGCCTCTCTGCTCCTATGATGCTGCTTGGCCTGCTGTGTTCATCCAGCCCTGCACCTTGTTGTCTGGCATTTAAATATCACAGGTTTTACTGATAGCTGGCAAATTACACCGAGACTATTGAATATTGGATCACACTAAAAACCTTGCCTCACCCTTCCTAGAACAGAGATCAATCTCATTGTCAGCATGAGTCCAATAGCCAAAGGTGGCAGGTTACATTTGCACTTTTAATGAGGTTTATGAGACTCTATTCTTGCATGAGCAACAGCTGTTACAGTGGAGCTGGCATCATACGAAAGGATATCAAGATATTGCTTGGATGTGAGAGGAAGTAAAACGAGGAGAGAAATTCTAGAGGTCAATGACAGTCAGTTACAACAAATTAGATGTGCAATCAGTGTTGAAACTAGGGTCTGTTGGGAATACAGCATGTCAACATTTGGACATTTTATAGATAATCACAAATTAGATTTAGAGCATAAAAACAGCATTCTCCTGAAATACAGGAGCTTTGATCCATGCATGCGGCAAATTAAATCTGATCAGAAAAAAAAGTGCAACAAATGGTGGTGGAGCTAGGAAGTGCTTAGTTTTGATGCTCTCGCTGTCAGAGTGGGGCAAGCTGAATGGACTAAGCTCAGAGCTCACGGTTCATGGCCCAGCTGTAATTCTCAGACATGAATTCCAAAGCACCAACAGCAGCCATAAAGCACAGATTGAGCCTTACAACGGCCCTTTAAATCCACACATACTTTTCAAAATTGTGGGCGTGACCTACTGGTCAATCTTTTGAGACCCAATTCCTATTCCCAAAAGCTCTGAAAAGCTAGGTTTCCTTCATTTTCAAACCCCAGATCCAAAATAGCCCACTGCTCGAAGCTTTCTCCCCCACCAGCTCTCCACCCTCACCCCCCACAGCCGTGCCAGCTCTCCACCCTTCCCACCCCTACAGCTCTCCATCCCCCACCCTCACAGATCTCCAACCCCTACTCTCATAGCTCTCCGCTCCACCCTCACCTCCCCTCCCCCAACCTCACAGCTCTCCACTTCCCCCACCCCAACAACTCTCCAGCTCCACTCCCCCAGAGCTCTACACCTGTACCCCGCCACCGTCACAGCTCTCCACCCCTCCCCCCAACTCCCATTCTCCGCACTGAGGGGTCACAGCAACTCTCAATTCTTAAAATGGGATCACAATGGTAAGAGTTAGACCTATTACTGATTTTTCCTGTCTTATTAATCTCATACTGACTGTTTACAACCCCACAAAACCTGTCTCAGTCTAGCTTCAAAACATCGAATTAAAAACAACACACGATTAGTCTGTACCTCTTTCCTGGCAATTTTCAGGAATATGCTGACAATAACCTCAGACGTATTCTGAAGCAGCAAGAAGAATGGAATAGGCTGTAAGAAATAAATAATAAAAGTTAATAAAGAGATCAAGGTCACTTTCCAAACTAATAGTAACCTGCTGGAATTCTGCTGCAAGGCAGCTAAATGACTTGCAATTATTTATAAAGAGAAGGATTTAAGATGGAATCATGACCCAATAGAAAATGCCCAGTCTTTTGTAGACATATGTCACTGTAGCCAGAACTGTGCAAATGGCATTTGGAAGAAAAGGGCTTTAAGCATTTCTGAACATGTATACACACGCACAATTAAACAGCCTTAACTAAGCTCAAGCCGTTTTCATTTTCTGTAACAGCATGAAGCAGGCCTCTGGAATGGAGAGGAAGTTGAGCAGTCAGAAATAGTTAGCACTGCCATTAGGTGGAGTGCCAAGAACTGAAAGACCAAAATACTATTTTTAAAAAATGGGCAGCAGGGAATTGGAGCTCGCAGGTCTGGACGGTTTCTGTATTTTTTTTTTTACTATGAATCCTGCTCATTTCAAATTTCTCGCTTTTTAAAAGACTCAAGCGTCAACTGCCAGAGACTCGGTACTGGACATGTCTACAATGCAGGCAACTGACAAAAAGGGCTGCTTTCCCAACCATAGAGTGCCTGCACATGCAACAGTGAAACAGGCTACACCTGCAACAAGCGAAACATGATCTGGCACCTTTTTACAACCTATGGCTTCAGAAATGCCAGTATAATACAATGATAACAATAGAAGGATTAAATGGGAAGTACTACACGCAAGGAGGTAAAATTGAAAAGCACAAATACTCCATGAATGTTGTTGATGTAGCTTAAGTGAGAGAGATTTAGAAATTTTAGAAGATGCAATATATAGAAGGGTTGTTGTGACATGGTGGTAATGTCCCTACTTGTGGACCAGGAAACCTGAGTTCAATTTCTACCTGCTCCAGAGGTGTATAATAACATCCCTGAGCAGGTTGATTAGAAGTAAAAAAAAAAACAATACATCCAAGCTGACAGTAGAAACACTGAAGAAAGCCAATGGGATTTCAAAGCACTGAACTAAACTGGCTAAATGCAAGTCAGACGATGTCTCTACAGTTCTCCATTCAAACGTCACTTTGAATATTGTATCCAACTCCGGTCAGAGACTTATTAGTAAGGTCAGTACTGGAAGTAGTGCACAGTAGAGCTAAGAAGTGGATCAGTAATATCAAAAAAAAAACTGAGATAAATGGAAATTTAGACTTTCCCTTCTGAAAAGGAGACATCCAAGAGGTAACTTTATCAGCACATAAGGGTAGATAGTTAAGGAATAATAACTCTGCTTTATTACTTTAAAGCAAAATAAATTGGGACAATATGTCTAGGACCACGGATTCAAACAAATGCAAGATAAATTCAGGATTATCAGGATACTCTCCTGCACACATATGCACAATTCAATCCATGGAATGGTTGCACATCCCTGTAATCATTGAAGGAAAAGAATTCCTGCATTGGAGAGAGATCGGAGAGACTTCATGGTTGGGTGAATTATGATGGGATGCTCATTTATATTAATTTTGCAATCAATTGAGGAAATAAGTAGCTCTCTCTACATTTGCACCTAAATGGGTTTGCTGGGCTCCCCAAGTTTCTACTCATGGGCTTTCTCAATCTTGACATTTTAGGTGTCATACTGTATATGACAACAATCTGTTACCAAAGTGCATTTTCCTAATTTTTAAAAACAGACTATTAGACTGTCAAGCAATTCCATTTATAGCTGCAATGTGAGCAAGTGCAAGTATTGTTCAACTAGAAAGAGTATGGTCGATTGGATGAAGTAACACAGTAGACATGATGTTCACAGATTTCCTGAAGACAACTGACGATGTGTCTCGGAGATAGCAAGAACTGCAGATGCTGTAGTCAGAATCAATACAGTGTGCAGCTGGAGGAACATGGCAGGTCATTTCAGGCATACCTGAAAAAAGTCGACTTTCCTGCTCCTCTGGTGTTGCCCGACGTGCTGTGTTCCTCCAGCTCCACGCTGTATTGATAATGTGTCTTAAGGAAACCTGTTGTTACAAAAACTTGGCGCATGTTCAAATGCTGTCAATGTTTTAACCATTGTTTGAAGCAATATGTCAAAGTTAATCATTACTTCACAACAGCAATCATTTCACATCACTGTCAACCAATCAGACATGGGCTGCAGGACAGGAGTCCATTCAGAGGTAGCAGTGGGTGGGGCTGTAAGCAGCAAAGCCTGATGTACAGGACTGACAATTCCACTGTCAGCCAACTAGGGTTGTATGGGTGGTAGGTCTGAAACCAATCAAAATCTCAACATCAACAAAAGTAAGTTGTGCTGACAGTTTACAAGATAGTCATGGAACAAGAATGTCATTTGGCATGCTTTAATCCATGCACCCAGAACAAACTTATTTTCTTACTATCACTGCAGCTAATTGTTACTTGAAATAATTCTAGTGATTCTGCTCAAAGTCCAGTCATGTTTGATTTCACTTTACATAAAGAAGAATCTCTTATAGTCTTACCTTTTGTGAATTGAAGTTGTACTCTTTGATCTAATCTCTTGACTCAATTTCAAGCAAGATCGCGGCTTCAATTTTTGCTAAGCATATATTAGCTTGTATATCTCAGCGAGGCTATTTCTCAAATGACTCCCATCCATGAATATGCCAAGTTTCTGCAGCCTTTCATTATAACTCAAGATTCTTAACAGTAGGAATCAACCTGTGCTCTCCTCTGCATTGACTCCACTTAATTTTCTCCCAAATTTCTTCATAGCAAGAACTGAACCTCGTACTGGAAACAAAGTCTGAGCTGAGCAGTACAGCCTTCTCCGGATTCATTTTTACTGGTGCATTTTGCCTCCCCAGTTACGCTTTCCCCCAAAATATCTTTGTTCCTCTGATTAATACACTTGTGTGTCCTTATATTCAGCCCTTTAGGTGTTTTCTCCCTGCAGGAACTGGTTACTCTTACTTTGCTTTCGTGTGCTCTGCAATTAACAAGATCATGTTTGGTCTGTTTGTGTTCCAAATTCCACATTTTAATTTACCCTCAGTAACCATCGATTTTCTTGCCAAACTACTTCTGCCTTAAAAATATTCAATGACCCTGTCTCCACTGCTTTATGTGGCACAAAAGTTTCAAAGTTCCACAACACATTGAAAGGGAGAGCCCACATTTTAATTGTTCCCGATTTCTGGAATCACCCACAAGATTAATGATCTTTTCCATGTCTGCCAAGGCCATTCAGGATCTTATAAAGTTCAATCAAATCAGCCCTCACTCTTCTAAACTCCAGGTGTAAAGAAGGCCAGTGCCATTCAATGTTTCTTCTTAAGGTAGCCTGCTTATGCCAGGTATCAATCCAGTAAATATCCTCATCAGAAAGACGGACACCAACGCATTCACATCCTTCCTTAAATGAGACCAAAACTGCCCACAGTATTTGAGATGTGGACTCATCAATACCCTGTATAACTGAAGCACAGCACTTTCATGTTGAATTACACTTATAAAAAGGATAGCATCCCATTAGGTTTCTTAATTCTATGCTGTACCTGCATATTAAATTTTTTTGTGGCTCATTCACTGGAATACCTAGAGAGCCCTGCTTTTCTGTTCTTCCTGCCAAAGTGAACAACTTCACATTTTTTCTCATGTTATACTCCATCTGGCAGATTTTTGCCCACGTCACCGGTTGGTCTGTATCCTCCTCATGTCATCTTCACAACATACTGTCCTAATTATTTTTCCGTCATTTGCAAATTCAGTTACCATGATTTTGATCCCCGATTCAAATCATTGATACAAATTGTAAAAATGTTCAAAGCACAGCACAGAACCTTTTAGATTTCGACTCGTCACATGTTAGCAATCTGAAAAAGACCCATTTATGCATGCTCCTCTGTTTTCTTTCAGCCAGCCAATCTTCCACCCATGTGTTACCCCCTTGACCATGAGCTCCTACTTTGGGCAATAACCTTTTATGTGGAACCTTGTCAAATGCCTTCTGGAAATCCAAAACAATGGGCTCCAGTTTATCTACAGTGCATGTTACTCCTTCAAAAAGAATTCCAATAAATTGGTTAAACACAATTTAAACTTACATAAAACAATGTTGACTCTTCCCAATTACGTTGAGTTTCCACAGTGTCCAGTTGAAATCATTCAGTGATTGATTTAATATTTATGTCCCAACAGACTCTGCAATAAATGACATTTTTTTTGTATGTTCATTTTTTTTTTCCCTCAAAAGGAATTTCCTGTGGTTGCCATTGCTCCTACTGCAAGGAAATTAATTTCTGTCAAGATCGACTGTGGGTGCCTTTTCGGAAATAAGAATGCAACATTTGTCTTTGCTTGACTATGTTTGTCACTTACGCAAGAGTTCAGATTTAGAAATTTGGGAACTGGAGTAGAGCCCACACATTAAGAAAGACTGGAAGAGATAGATAAACAGCCCAAAAGTGAAGCTTTGAGGACATGCTTCACATGAGCAGTGATAGAACTACATCGAGGAACTTGAAGTTCCTGCTGCTGAAAGCTTTGCTCCAATAAGTTGGTAACACTCACATCGGAATCAGGGTCTGGGTTCAAATCCCACCCTCGGTCTCCAGTTCAAAAATTAAGGCCGACCCTGAGGAAGCATTGCACTGTCAGAGGCTCTGTCTTTCTAATGTTCTTAAATTGAACTCCCATTGCACGAATGATAAAGCCATAAGATATAGGAGCAGACTTAGGCCATGCAGTCCACTGAGTTCCTCCTCCATTCAATCATCACTGATGTGTTTCACAACCCCATTCTCCTGCCTTCTCCCCTTAATCATTGATCCCCTTACTAATCAAGAACATAAATACACTCAGTGACTTGGCCTCCATAGCCTTCTAAGGCAATGAGTTCCACGGATTTACCACACTCTGGCTGAAGAAATTCCTCCTCATCTCAGTTCCAAAAAAGAAGAGTTGTCTCTTCATTCTGAGGTTATGCCCTTGGATCCTAGACACTCCTGGAA